AATGCCGGTGTTGCCAGCAAAGCCCATGCTGGCCCAGGCATTCCTTGACAGGGAATCCGAGCCCTGGAAACAAGACCAGCAAAGCCGGCGGCACCGGGATGGAGCTGATGGAGATGCTCTGGGGAGCAGAGAGGGGCAGCTCCTTGCACAGGACTCACCAGCTGCAGGATGTCCTCGTCCTTGGGCATGATGGAGAGCTCCAGCACATCGTCACTGCGGAGAGAGCGGCGGCCGTTCAGGGCGCTGCACTGGGCCCCAGAGCCGGGCGCCTGTCCCCGCACATCTCTGCCTGCCCCCGGCCACCGTGTCACCTCCGTGTCCCCTCCATGTGCCCATCCCCAGTATTACCTGTTCTGGATGAGGGCGATGACCTGCGAGTAGGTTTTCCCAATGATGCTCTCCCCGTTCACCTTAACCAGACGATCTCCTGTGGGACAGGGGAGGAGGTGACGACCCCACATACAGGGAAGCCCCTGGGTGGGCAGTCCCATCCCAAGACCCTCATCCCATCCCCAGCTGCTCCGGATGCCCTGGGAGAGCACAAGGAGCGTCTCACCTGTGCGCAGCCCGGCCTGGTGCGCCGGCCCGTCCTCCCGCACGCTCTTCACGAAGATGGTGTCCATAGGCTCCAGGCGGCTCCGAGGGGGACCTGCTCCAGGAGGCAGAGCGCATGAGCGGGCGGCCACGCTGCCCTCGCACACACGTGCACAAGTGTGCTCATGCAGCTGTGCACACGCATGCACACGCACTCTGCATACACATGCATGCACATGCACTCTGCACATGCATGCACACTGCACATGCATGCACACGCACTCTGCACACGCACTCTGCACATGCATGCACACTGCACATGCATGCACACGCACACACACACTCTGCACATGCATGCACACGCACTCTGCACACGCACTCTGCACACGCATGCACATGCACACTGCACATGCATGCACTCTTCACATGCATACAAACACACTCTGCACATGCATACACACACACTGCACACGCATGCACACATACTCTGCACACGCACTCTGCACACACATTCACACGCATGCGCACACACGCACACTCTGCACATGCATGCACACGCACTCTGCACATGCACTCACATGCACACGCATGCACACACACTCTGCTCATGCATGCACACACACACACTCTGCACATGCATACACACACACTGCACATGCATGCACACATACTCTGCACAGGCACTCTGCGCACACATTCACACGCATGCGCACACACGCACACTCTGCACATGCAGGCACACGCACTCTGCACATGCACTCACATGCACACGCACTCTGCACACGCATGCACACACACTCTGCTCATGCATGCACACACACTCTGCACATGCATACACACACACTGCACACGCATGCACACATACTCTGCACATGCACTCTGCACACACATTCACACACATGCGCACACACGCACACTCTGCACATGCATGCACACGCACTCTGCACATGCACTCACATGCACACGCACTCTGCACACGCATGCACACACACTCTGCTCATGCATGCACACACACACACTCTGCACATGCATACACACACACTGCACACGCATGCACACATACTCTGCACACGCACTCTGCACACACATTCACACGCATGCGCACACACGCACACTCTGCACATGCATGCACACGCACTCTGCACATGCACTCACATGCACACGCATGCACACACACCCTGCTCATGCATGCACACACACACTCTGCACATGCATACACACACACTGCACATGCATGCACACATACTCTGCACAGGCACTCTGCGCACACATTCACACGCATGCGCACACACGCACACTCTGCACATGCATGCACACGCACTCTGCACATGCACTCACATGCACACGCACTCTGCACACGCATGCACACACACTCTGCTCATGCATGCACACACACACACTCTGCACATGCATACACACACACACACTGCACACGCATGCACACATACTCTGCACACGCACTCTGTGCACACATTCACACGCATGCGCACACACGCACACTCTGCACATGCATGCACATGCACTCTGCACATGCACTCATATGCACACGCACTCTGCACACGCATGCACACACACTCTGCTCATGCATGCACACGCTCTCTACACATGCATGCACATGCATGCACACGCATGCCACCGTTTTACACACGCTGCCCCTTGCCCTCCCCGCCGCTCCCTCCTCGAGCCCCAGCGCTGCAGCCCCTTGGCCCCCGGCGCGGCGAGTGCGGCCCGTCAGCCTCGGCGCGCGTCTATGCGTTCTGACGGCATCGCCTCCGCTCAAGTCACCGTCAGCCTCCAGGAGGAGCGCTGGCCATGTCCCCATGTCCCCATCCTGACATGCATGGGGCTATTTCACCTCTGCAGCCCCCTCGGGCTGTGCCCCAAAGGGCTTTGGGGACACCGAGCTCTCCTGCCTCCAGTGACACAGGAGCACGGAGCCGCCTCATCACAGCCTATATTTAGGGCTGTGCTACCCACATTGCGGCCACCGGACAGACACCGTAAGGGTGTCCCCATTCCAGAAACGCCAGCGCCCACCCCACAGCGCGGGGGCAGCTCCTTACCCGCTCGGTTGCCGTTCTCCTCCTCCTGCCAAAGGAAAAGAGAAACAGTGTAG